TTAAACCCCATTCCCTTTCCCCCTCTGTAGATTTCTGATGCCAAGCTGATCATCATTTCAGTACCAGCAAAGATGTGCTATTCCTGTCCCTGGGGAGCATTTCCTTCTTAGGAAAATGACTCTGAGGGGCTGCAGATGTACAATGAGGAAGGGTTCGGGCCAGGACAGTGCGCCTGTGTGTGAGTCAGCTGGCCCCTGCCTGGGTCCTTTCTTGGGCACTTCTGCGGTCAGTCCTCTCCTCCTCCTCCTAACCCAGGTTTGATGTGCACCATTCAGAGGCCTGGTCTTTCATCTCTCCCTGCCCTCCTTAGGGACCACTCTGTCTAGCACTAGGCTCGCTGCACTTCTCCTCTGAGAAGCTTCCTCCAGCCTTTAGCTGATGTAAGATCTCAAAAGGAAGTTAGACATGGAGGGGAAAAATGAAATGACACCAGGGAGGAACGTCCAGGAAGCACAGAACACTTTTACGCTGCCTCAATCACATCACTTGACTCTAAATGGGAACATAGGTTTTAAAATTCCTACTGTGTTAGCCTAAGAAAGGTTGTGAAACCACCTTCTTGGTTTAAATAGTCAAGTGCTCAGTAATTCAGGGGCTGGTGGGCCAGGGTGTGGATTACTCAGGCTCCTCTGCTTTACCCCCCGTTCTCTCCATGGGCCAGTTCTGTCATTGGTCCTTTGGGGGGAAGGGGGCAGGAAAAGCAAAGAAAGGAGATTCTAGGCTGTGGGGCTTGCTGTTTGCTAGGCTGCTGGCAGAGATACCCATCCCTGCAGTCCTGTACTTGTGGCTGTGTGCATGTGTGTGCATGTGTGCATATGCCTGTGTGTGCATGTGTGCACATGCCTCTATGTGTGTGTGTGTGTGTGAATGCACACTTTTTTTGTGACCTCAGTTTCAAGCGGTTGCTTCCCTGATGTGTCTATTTAGGGAAGTTGAGCTAGAGAGATCAACTTTGTGGAATGGAAGTCAGTGCAGGCAGGACTCTACAGGAGGGGTGAAGTGGGGCTGAGAAGAAGGAAGGTGTCTTTCCTCCAACAGCCACTTCCTCAAGCCCCCTGAGGGATGACAAGGTCCCTCCATTTGAGGACCCTCTGAAGCTTAGAAGGGTGAGGCAAGAAGGACCCGCCAATCCTTTAGGCATGCGCAGGCCCTGACCTTTACTGAGTCTCCCTGGGCAGAGGGCTTGGTCCCCTCTGGGAAGAGCCTCCAAGCTAAGTATCTGTGAGGTTGTGACTGGGGAGGCTGGGGACATGCGTTCTCCATGGATCTGCCAGGATGGCTGGACAGATCTTGCGAATAGACCATGTCAGATGGAGTGTGGAAGGGGAGGCTGTGCTTGGTGGCTCAGAGAACACAGTCCTATCAGGTGCTAAACCACAGGCTTTCCTTCCGGCCTTTGAGGCTGCAAAAGGGAAGAGCTCTTAGGATTAGACTGCTTGCCAAGAAAGTAAAAAATTCTGAGTCTCCCCACTAATGCCTGGGTGACCAACCCTCTTACCCAGCGCCCTTCAGCCTGGAAGCTTTGGATGGAGTGATGGACTCCAGGACTCCACAGCCTTCAAGTTCCCTTCTAAACGGAATCTGCTCTGACCCACATACACTGTTCTTTCCTTACTAGAACAGGAGCAAGGAGGCACTCGTACCTGGGCTCCTAGGGTCCCACCACATGCCCCTGGTCCCCTGCCATAAGGTTCTGGGCTGGGCTCAGCAGAGAGCCCTCTCTGCATCCAGCCAGATCTTGAGTGCCACTGGCCTGGGCTGACCTCCCCAGAGATGGAGAGCAGGGCATGCCCTACACACATCCTGCCTGCTGGGTGTCCTGTCCCTTTGCCCTCAACCAGGCTTGGCCTTCTTGGGGGGACTCCCGGAGGAAATACAGCAGACTGGAGTTCACATTCCAGCTCCAGCCTTCACTGCTTCTCATCTCTGAGCCCAGCTTCCTCATCTGTAAAGTGGGAGTGACCAGTTTATACCTCTTCAGATGGGGGATCAGAGCATGGGCTTGGGAGCCAGACTGCATGGCGCTCAGTAACAGTGTGGACATTCTAATAAAGACGACTTACTCTCCTGCTGCCTCAGAGTCCTCACAAACAGGCTGTAAGCATCCTGTCCGGGTGACTGGGTGCACCAGTGTGATAGGGCTGGCCCCTGCCACCAGTTCTCCTTGCCTCCCTCCCTGCCCTGAGTCTATAGGACCGGGGAGCCAGCCTTTTCCCTGTGCCTCTCCTGTGCCCTCTGGTGGCCACACTGGATCATCACCTACAGGAACATAAAGGCAGTGTGACTCTGGGCACATCACTTGCCTGCCCCTGGCCCTCAGTTTCCTCCCCTGTCAAAAGCACAGGAAGAGTAACACCTCTCTGGGCGCAGGGCGAGGACTGAAGAGTTAGCATGCGAGAGTGTTGACAATGGTACTTGGCACACAGAGCTCTGGTCGCCGGGACTTTGCAGGGTTGCTGTAGTAAGGAGGAGGGAGGTGGCGCCCAGTCAACATCGGCTATTTGTTTTCTAAATTTGCTTTTCCCAAGGCTGCAGGGGACCACTGGCCTTCAGGGGTTCCTTAGAACCAAGGCAAATGGCTCAGAGCCAGAAGCAAGGCTTCTGCCTCCCCTCTTGGGCTGTTGTGAGTCCTGTTCTTCTTCCACAGGATGACCTGGTGGAAGGAAGGAGGCAGCCAAGAGCACACGGCTTGGGGGCCTGCCCCTGGGCAGACCTCTAGGGGTGAGGGTCAGAGGCTCAGCCTGCAACCCCCAGCCTGGCTGAAGGTCCCGCTTGCTAAGGGGTGCAGAGCTGAGCGGGACACAGATGGGCTCGCAGATGCTGCGGAGGAGGGCGAGTCCCTGGGCCTGACAGCACAGGTCTGTAGCCTCAGGCCTGCAGCCTCAGGCCTGCACAGACAGAACGCAGCCCTGAACCCAGCCACACTATGTACCCAGTTCATTCAGTCAAACAATGTGCCTTCATCCGGCCATATTGGTCAAATCTAGGCTGTGTCCTGTGGTTCTCACAACCTCAGCTGCCCTATGCACGACTCTGTTGGGAACCCTATGCCAGGCCCCCAGGGAGGGCTGGGTGGAGTGTGGCTGGCTCTGGATACACCTGTCCCTACAGCTGGGAAAGAACTCAAACCTGTGCTCTGGTGGCCGTCCCCTGGGGGCCTTCATCCCACCTGCACATAGCATCGCTCACCAGCACCTTGGCTCTGGGCTATCCCTTAGAGCAGAATGAACAAATTCTTCAAAAGGGGAAGAGACATCCTGCTGAGCGTGTACACAGCAGCTCTATATCCAGGGCTAGAAACTAGGTCGCCACTGGTGAGAGGCGGCAGGGGACGGCGCTCTGGTGTTCTCAGCACACCTCCTCGGCCTCCTGTTCTCTTGGTTGCTGTGCAAGGACAGAGGCAGCAAAGTCTATGGCGGATGCCAGGAAGCTGGGGAAAGAGAGCACAGGGCCCTTTGAGGCTTCTTCCCACTGCCTGGTTCCTTTCAAGCTCAGCCTGATTTCTCTTTGAGACTGGGGTTGGTTCGGCCCATCAGGCTTCCTTGCTAGTCTGGTTGTTTTCAGCTTCCTGAGTCTGGAGCTGGACTCCAGCCCTCTGGACCCCAGAAGTTCCACCCTGGCCTCCTTTCCTGATGCTGTGAGCATCTATGGGTCTTCTTCCCGGCTTCCCAGGTGGGTGCCTGTCAAGAGCCTATGGTGCCCACAGCATTAGCCATGAAATACTCTCCTGAACAACCAGATTGGCTAGATCCCATCAGGATTCTAGATCTAACCACCAGGAGAATGTGTTGAACAACACAGGGATATAATCAGAAAATCCAGACTGGCTGGCCGCGTGAGGTGGCTCATCCCTGTAATCCTAGCACTCTGGGAGGCTGAGGCAGGTGGATCGCCTGAGTTCACTGGTTCGAGACAAGCCTGAGCCAGAGCAAGACCTTGTCTCTAAAAATAGCTGGGTGTGGGTGGCGCCTGTGGCTCAAAGGAGTAGGGTGCCGGCCCCATATACTGGAAGTGGCAGGTTCAAACCTGGCCCCTGCAAAAACTAAAAAAAAAAAAAAAAAAAAAAAAGCCAGGTGTTGTGGCAGATGCCTATAGTCCCAGCTACTTGGGAGGCTGAGGCAAGAGAATCGCTGGAGCCCATTGAGGTTGCTGTGAGCTATGATGCCATGGCACTCTACCAAGGGTGATAAAGTGAGACTCTGTCTCGAAAAGAAAGGAAAGAAAGGAAAGGAAGAAAATCCAGACTGAGAGAAACCCTAAGACAAATGACATGGGTCCTTCAACAAATAGATTGCAAGAGGGGGGAGGAAGAGAGAGAGATATTGGTGGTGGAGCTTAGAGACTTTTAAAAAGAGACTTAGGAGACAAATCAACCAATTTTAACACATGGACCGAATGTAGATTTTGACTCAAAAAAACTTACCAAAAAAAAAAAAAAAAAGGAATAGTTTATGGGTCAATTATGGAGATTTGAAACTGCCCGGTTATTTCATGATATTAACAAATGTTGTTTTTAACTGTGATAATCGTAATGTTATTATGTTTTCTAAAAGGTTATCCTTAAGTTTTATAGGTATATACTGAAATATTTCCAGATGACACGATGTCTGGGGTTGCTTGGAAATCACCCTTGGGCCATGGAGGGAGCAAAGTATAGGAGAAAATGAACCCAGATTGACTATGAAAGGGTAACCATTGAACTCTGAGTGATGGGATCATGGAGCTTTGTTACAAAACCATTTTATTGTATCTCTGTTAAAATTACCATGATGAAATCTACAAGGAGGAGGAGGAGGGACAATGGGGCCCCTGTCTTAGGTCTGAAGAACCTGGGGACCTTGGCAAACACCAGCCCCAAGAGCAGCCCCCCCCCCCGACCCCTGCCACGGCCTCAGGCCCTCCTGTTCCAGGCCTGGGACCCCTCTTGCTGAGAAACTTAAGGGCCAGGGTGGGTGGTACAGGGGTCCTCCTGCCCACAGAACATGGAGGGGTCACTCACTGTGGAAAGGCAGCCCTTCTGCTCCTGGAGGATGGCACCAAAGCCCAGAAAGCCGGTCACCATGACAAGAGTGCCCGCAAAGATGAGGATGTAGGCAGAGGCTGCAAAGGTGCTGGAGGCCAGGACGCTGAGGTAGCCACTCTTCTCCACCAGAGTCCAGATGCCCACGGCCAGGACGGCTGCCCCTCCCACCTGCAGGAGAGCTCTGGGTTAGAGCAGGGGTGGCAGGGGCCTCAGCAGCTGCCTTTTGTGGAAAGCCTACTAGGTACCAGGCGCCTCTTAGGCATTGGCCTGTTATGTCCTCCAAAGGGCCTGCAAGAAGAGTTTGGTCACTCAGTTTTATATGGGTAAATTGAGGCATAGAGAGGTTAGGAGACTTGCCCAAGGTCACACATGTGAGCGAGCTGCAGAGCCAGGTGTGAATCCAGGTCTGACTCCTAGTCTGTGCTTCTTACCATGCTATCTATCACATTGCTGTCACAGCGTCCGCGGCTGTGGAGTTGACCACCATACCCCAGTTCCTTCATCTCCCCAACTCGTCTCCATCAGAGCGCTCCTTTGCTCTGTCCACATTTCCCTGCTGGGGCACTTCTGAATCCTCATACTTGCTCCCTAGGAAATGATGGCTGGGCCCCACCCCTGTTCTACAGTGAGAGTAACTGAGGCCCATGGAGGAAAGCTAAGTTGCCTGAGGCCCTGCCTCTAGCTGGGGATAGGCCTGCCCTCCCCGTCATGCTGCCTCCACAGTGGAAGGGCTGCTGTGCCAGACAAGCTGAGCCATTCTGGCACTGCAGGAGGGTGGTGGAGAAACTTTTTTGCTAACTGATTCTCTTTCAGTCCTGAGAAGGGGTCAGGGATAGGACACTGCTGATGTGCAGGTCTGGGAGATGCCGCCTTAGAAACTAGAGTACCCGGAAGATGTGCCTGGGGTGGCTCAGCTCAGCTGGTTCTTTCTGTACTGAGGCTGAACAGCCCTTTCTGTTACTGTTATTCTCAGCAGTGCATAATGTATGTGTATACACATATACACATGTGTAGAGTGTTCTCAAAGTGCCAGATGGGGAATATTAGAGGCATTTGCCCAGGATTTGGGGACAGGACCTCTGGGACCTCTGACCATCTCTACCATCTGCTCCTGGGAAGGTGACTTTGATCTGCCTTCTGTTCTTCTGGCCCCCTCTAAGAGTGGGTCCATTTCCTCTGATGGGTGCTGGGTGCTTCCTCAAGGGGTCCTGGGTATGGCCAAAGCTGGAAAAGCCCTCTAATGCTCTGCCTATGCCCTCTAATGCTTATTGTCCCTGAGAGGCGTTCCCTCTGCCCCAGATGATGCTCTCTATAACCTCCACCTACCATTTCCCAGTTCTCTGTTCTGGACAGTCCCAGACTTCAGCTCAGCAAACAGAAGGCGGTCCTTAGCTATTAACAGTATCAGTCAACTTTCATGTATCTTACCCTTTTCTCTTCTGTACTTTCAACAGCTCAGTGAGGATGGGACAGGGTGAGTGGGCAGGTATTACCCTTGTTCGCAGATGAGGAAATTGAGGCATGGAGGGAATAAAAATGTGCCCGAGATGACACAATATATTATAGAGTTTCAGAATTGAGACTCAAACCTGAGTCTTTTGAGGGCAAATCTAGGACTCTGTCCTCAGATCCCACAGTGTGGGCTGGACCTGCTCCTCCACTTACTCCTGTATTTTCGATAGATATAATTTCTTCAAAGTCCCATTTTGTCTTCACTGACACCTCCACCAGGTGAGGGGACTCTACCCAGGCTACAGCTGTGCCACTTCAAATAGAATGGGAGAGGCTAACATGCCATCTTTCTTGGATTCCATGAAATAATTTTTCCCCTCCCATTTAACATCTGTAAAATTGGGTTGCATCTTATAATTGATGGCATCTTGCAAACACAATTGGTGGCACTTTTCCATAGTGGTATGAAAAACAATAGTGCATCTTACAACTGGAGTTATCTGAGTCCATGAAATCCTGCCTACCATAGGTTTTCAAAGCCTCTCTGGGTGTGGGTTATTTGTGGCCGACATGACCTTCGTGTCCAGTGAGAGATTCCAGAGTCTGGGTCAATGGAACTGTGTCCAGTGAGGCTTTCTAGCAAACTATTCTGCATAGAATTCTCTTCACCCCCTATGGCATGCCTGAAAGACTCAGGTGAAGGTCCCAACTTCATATAACTAGTTGTATGACTTAAAGATAGTCTTTAAGCTTTTTGGACCTCAGTTTGTTCATCTCTCAAAAAACGTGAATTATATCGGGCCAGTTGTCCCCAACCTATAATCACTAAGGACCCCTTTGATTACTTTTCCCCATGGATCTTATGTTTTGAGGGCTTCTGCCTATCAAACACAGTGCATTAATTTATACTTTTACTTCTCATTTATTAATCAAACACCTATATTACTGAAGGAAAAGATTCTGAGCAGCATGATATAGGCACGTGACCACACTGAATTGCTCTAACTCCAGCAAAAAGCCCAAGAAACTTAGCGTTTAGCAAGTATAGTCTCTTTATAGAAATATGCGCACTATCTGTTATCTATTAGGCTTTTTAATCCTGTCCCCCTCCACCAGAGCACAGGCTGCTCATCTGGATCTGAGATCACCAAGAAGGATCTGTTTAGACTGCTTTGGGGACAATTAATCTGTTGGGGGAACACGAGGCCCGCTGAGAAGCTGATAAAAAGCTTTGTATCCTTTGCCCAGAGAAAGTCATCCACATAAAATAACACATTCAGGGCCAGCAGCTGAGGTCTATTTTTGCACCACATAATGAGCCCTGGCCTAGATGGTCTCTTCTACCTCCATGTCCCCTTAAGGTCTGATTGTACAATCACCTGGAGAGCTGTGAAAAACCCAGGCCAGCCCCCAGGCCAATCAGAGTCTCTGAGGGTGGGACCCAGACATGAATACTTTACAACGCCAGAGTAGTCCGGTTGAGAACTACCGCCTGGGACTCATGATTACCGGGGGCCCAAGTGCCCCGCCCTCTCCTGCCAGCAGGTGGCGCTGTGCTGATTTTCCCTGAATCTTGAGGCTTCCTGACCCTCTTGAAGCTTTGGTGCTTCTCCCCTCGGAGGAGGCGCCTGAGATGCCGCGGAGATTCGTTCAGGACCTGAACTTCACCCTTTCCTTCCATCTGTGTTAGGGTGTTTTTTTTTGGCAGAAGCTTTGGGGTAGAAGACAGAGTAACGGGGAGCAGATTGTGCAAGAGAGGAAGACATATGTGGCTCCTGGGGGAAGGAGTGGAGTCTACGAGAAACGCAGCCCCCAGGGAGGAGTATTGATCTGACTAATGGAGGGCCTCTCTGCCAGGGTGCTTGCCAGCCACACAGAACGGGCTGGGATCTTGCAAAGCAGACTGAGCCCCAGGTCCCAGACACAGGGCAGGATCTGAGAGGGACCTGGAGGGACATGCTCCCCTTATTAAGGTCTAGAAAACAACAAACCCACAATCCTTCTGAGGTCCAGAATAAATCAGGGAATGAGTCCCAATCAACTGAGACTCCAGCCCTCCCTGGAAGTGTCATGGCCTCATGATTAGCTATAAGGAACAAGGGGGTTTCAAGTCCTACCCAGACTTCCTACTTGGCATGTAGTCAGCTCTTTAGAAGACTACCTTTCCTCTGGACAAGAATAGTAAAACTGCTCACTGTTGGAATGCAACATCAGAGGGTGTCACAGGGGGCAGACATCAGTAGGCCTGGGTTCCCGTCTGGGAGGTGCCCCTACTAACCATGGGACCATGGCACAGACATGTGGCCTCTCTAAGGCTCAGTTTCTTCATCTGTAAACTGGGGGCACTGGATAAGAATATCTCTGAGAACCCTTCCTCATGGTTAAATGTCCCTGTTGGTACCAGGGGGACAACCTGCTGCCAATACACCTCCAGCAAGATGCTTTTGGGCAGCGGCTTGTGGCTTTCACTCAGGCCTCCTGGAAACTGCCTAAGTCAGCGGAGCACAGGAGGAGAGGCCGGCAGAGGAGGACTGACCCCAGTGAGCTATTTCAACAGTCATTTACATAGAGTTGATTCGGCAATATTTGGCTCTTTACAGAAACTGGGTTGGTTTTCCATGGAGTATTAACCATATTTTTCAAAACCACAGTTTTCTGATTAGCTAGGAAACGCTGCAGAGGGTGAAGCTAGGCAACAGGGACACGAGCGGGCTGAGAGGGGCAGAGTAGGTCACTCACGCCGGGTAATCTGAGGAACTTCCCATTTATAGAAAAGAAACACTGCCAGGGTGTTGCTCACTCATCAAGGGGAGAAGGATCACCCTGAGCAGCCACATATGCTTGGGGCCCGATAGAAATAAGGCAGTGGACCCGAAGGCAAGCAGGCAGAGGGTGTAAAGGTAATCACAGGATTTGTCTTTGTCCTGCTACTGTAGGGTTTCTGTGCCAGGAAGGTAAGGCAGGAGTCAGGACTCCTGACAAAGAAAGCTCCCCTGGGCGAGAGAGTGCTCTACCTTCAGTGTGGAAGGAGCCCCCAGCACGGGGAGGCAGGACATGCACAGGGGGATGGTGCAGTTTCCTTTTTTTTTTTTTTCTTGAGACAGACTGTCACTATGTCACCCTCGGCAGAGTGCTGTAATGTCACAGCTCACAGCAACCTCAAACTCTTGGGCTTAAGCGATTCTCTTGCCTCAGCCTCCCAAGTAGCTGAGACTACAGGCACCCGCCACAGTGCCCGGCTATTTTTTGTTGCAGTTGTGATTGTTTAGCTGGCCAAGGCCAGTTTTGAACCTGCCAGCCTCAGTGCATGTGGTCAGCACCATAACCCTTGTGCTACGGGTGCCGAGCTGGTGCAGTTTCTTTATTGTGTTTGGTGGCCAGCAGCACGCTATGCACGCTGGACTGGAGAGGTTTTTGGCTTGGACATCTGTGCTCCTCCCACTCCAGACCAGACACTGCAGGGTCATTACTGACCTTCAGCAACAGTCATATGTCAGTTCCCCTCTGCTCTCAAACCAGTCTCCATCTCCCCACTGCACTGCCCTGCCTCGGCTCTGCTGGCCCTGCTCCACCCACAGGCCAGCACCTCCAGTGCCCACCCACCCAGCCAGCACCCCTCTGCTGAGGAATCCCCCCATCCCAGCACCCAGAGCACTGAGCCCAAGCTTTCTCACGTGGCCTTGTGGCCCTTACGTGTCTGGTCTCAGCCTGATTTT